AAAGAATTTTCTAAAAGTTCACTATATCCTTTTGTTTTCAAACTTTCTGAGCTTTTTTTTCTACTTGCTATTTCCAGAGACTTCTCTAGTTTAGATATTAAACATAAAGAGGAGTCTACTTTAAGAAGATCTAGAACAAGGCTTGATCTTTTTGCAAACTGTCTAAATATTTACTTCTTGGTATATTATATTTACAGACTTCATCAATAACAGTTTGTATTGAGAAAACTTTAAGTTATTATTAACTTTTAGTCTTAAGTTTTAACTTGCTTTCGGTACTAGTTGGTCTAAATGATTATTAGAGAGTTTTTTTTAGAATTTTCAAATTTCTAAAAATATAAGCTCTAGTTATCAATAAATAGTTCTTATTAATTCTATTAAAATTATTATTTTATAATAGAGTTTTATTACTTTAATAATATTTTTTATAAAGAAGTAAAAAAAAGTATAAATAAAATAAAAAAGATTGAATATAAGCAAATATATAAAAAGTAACCAAATTATAAAAAAATCTAAAAACTATTTTAAATCTATAAAACTTGTTTATAAATAAAAAATCTACTAATTAGATAAAAACTTATTTATATAATAGTAAAAATCTATATATAGAGCATATTTAATAAAAAACTAATATATACTTTAATCCATTTAACTCTCCCTTACTATCACTTATACCAACTAGCTTCTGAAAGCAAGTTAAAGACTCAAGACCAGAAGGGGTTAAATAATTTGAAGTTGTCATAATATGAACTGTTGTTAACAAAGTCTTGAACATGATACACTGAGAAGTGGATGTTTTGAACAGTTTGCAAAGAAATCAAGCCTTTTTATCTTGTCTTCTTAGGTAGACTCTCTTTTGCATTCAGCATCAAAACCGGAAGAGTTTCTAAGAACAGTAAGTAGAAAGAAGACTCAAGTTATATTAAGAACAAAAGGCTACGAAGAACTCTTGAAACAACACTCTTTGGTTGGAAAACTCGCAAAACTATATTTTTTTCCTGCAATCCTTTTTCTTCATAATTTTTAACAAAAAGTGGGAGATTTGGCTGCTACCTCCAAAAGATTAGCAAAGGATCAGTATTGTTTATCACTTTTATTCTCAGAAAGTCTCAAGTTGTGCTATGACGAATAAAGAAAACAACAAACATGTGTGAGGAAGAAGTTTTGAAGCTGAAATTAAAACCAATGATCATGTATTGAAGCTTTAAGATCGATTACTCTAGGACCTGAGTTAGATTTAATACAAGAGTTGGCAACTAGAGTAGTAATATGAGATATACAATATTCTGAAGTTGTAGACATATAATTTTTAGTCCTTAGTACAGGTTAAAGTGCATTATAGTTTTTTTTGTCAAATAGCTCTATATATAGATTTCTATAACCATATAGATAGTTTTTCACTTGGTTAGCAGGTTTTTATATCTGTAGACAAGTTTTTTTAGATTTTAGAATAGTTTTTTACTTCTTTATAATTTGGTCATCTTTTTTGTATATTTGTTTTTTTTTATTTACCTCTTTTTCATTCTACATTTACACTCTTTTTTTTCTTTTTTACTTCTCTACGAGAAAGTATTATCAGATTGGTGGCACTCTATTATAGAGCAGTGATTTTGACAAGGTTAGTGAAAACCATCTTTTGATCTCTGAGGCTTATATCCTCAGTAAGTTGAGGTCTTGGAAGGAGAAAAATGTTTACTTAGGTGGTCACTCTTGGGTCGTATTCTAGCATAAATTTGGGGTTTACTTCATTTTTACTGTGATAATGAGATAGATTGAGAGATTTTTTATTTGTAACAGGCATAAGTATTTCTTATAGATAATGTAGGTTTAGCTAACTGAGATATCTTGTTGTAAAGTACTGCCAATAAAAAAATAAAGGAAGGATTGCTGAAGTAAAAAAAAAATATATATATATACTTTAATCTGTACTAAAAGCTAAAATTATATACAGTATATATAACTTTAGAATACTACATATCTTTCAACTATTACTTTAGTTTGTAATTCTTTATTTAAATTTATTTTGAATTTTAGATTATCTAATTTCAAAATCTCAATATATGATTATTAGTTTTAATATTAATCTTGAAACTTCTTTTTTATATATGATTGTTATATTTTTTATTTATTATATTATAACTCAAACTTTTTAAAAATAGAAGTAGTAAATATTGCTGATATTTTGAAAATAAATAGCCAAATTTTTTATTTTATAAAAAAATAGCAAAAACATATTGTAGTTTTACAAGTTTTAACTAAAAAGTATTATTTTAAGAGTTTTTTGAAACTTTCTATTTCTATATATACTTGAGTTTCTTTTTTACTTGCTGTTTCTGAAAACTTCTCCAGTTTAGATACTAAATACACAAAAGAACAAAAAACCAAAGCTTGACTCTTATACAAACTGTCTAAAACATCTATATCTTAGCATATCATATTTAAAGAATTTATTAACAACAGTTTGTATTAAAAAAAACTTTCAAATAATTGTTTTGAGTTTTTAACTTGTTTTCAATAACTGGTTGGTATAAGTAATCATTGGGAAGAGTTGTAAATATACCCTTTTGAGTTTAATTATTTTTAATTTTGTTTATTTTCTTAATTAGTTTTATTTTAAAACAATTATTTAAATTCTACTTTTAAATTATTTTCACATTTATATTTTAAGATTTCTATCTTTAAAAAACACTCTTCTTTATTATATTTTTTACTTCTTTTTTTATTATATCTTGATTTTTTTTCTTTGATAAAAGATTAAATTCAAAAAAAAATTATTTAACCAATACATATATAACTAAAAAACATATTCTATATCTATCAAAAATTTACTTAATCTATTTTAAATTTATTTTATAATCTAGCACAGGTCGAAATTTAAAATATCTATAACATTTCCGAGTGATATCAGCAGAATATCGAATGTCGATATGTCACCGATATCTTTCCGATAGATGGAAATACGCGCCAAATATCTGTTAGCTATCAGGCATATCGATGTCCGATATTCTGCTGATATCTCTCAGAATTATTATAGATGTTTTAAATTTCGACCTGTGTAAAAAAAAAATTTTTTAGTTTATAATTAAAATAAACTTTTATAATAATTACAAATTGGCCAACATAGTATATATAATAGTTTAATTATTACTCAAATATAACCTTTTAACATTAAACTAGTTTATTAAGTATTATTAGTGTTTGATAATTTCCATATGTTTTTAAATCTTCTCTTTAAACAATTAGCTAGTATATGTAATTCTTCGCTTGTATGGTTTAGTAGTGCGGGCTTGTCTTCGCTGGTACGAGGATGATGGCATATTTGGTTGTAAATTGTTGGTGGCACTCATTAATTGACTTAATGTCGCACAGTTAGTTGTTTCTGGTAACTTACCTGGTAATTGATACTCTGCAGTAGCAACCAAGTTATGATTTATTTTGTTAAATTCATCAACAGGTGCCTTGATGAACTTTAACATTGGCCCACAATATGAAAATTGACCAAATACTATCGAAGTTACGGGGAAAGCAGACCTACCACCTTTACTTGTACATAGAGGAAATAGGGTCGCATAAGTTGATGACTGACATCCAGCATAGATATGAACTCTTCCATTTATAGAATTTCTTTCGATATCTTCTTTTTTTAATAGTGCATATCCTGGTGCCATGGCTTGCATCAAACGCGCTTCATCAACAAATGGCAAGATAGCCTTGTTATTAGATATCTTGAATTTTTTCGGGAAGAATTCATAAATTGGAGACTGTGGATCAGTAAATAAAGGTCGGAAAGGTTCTGGAACAAGATAATTACATTTAGGTGGAAGTATGCACATTAATTGTTCGAAAGGTCGTATCGGGGTGTCTGGGATGAAAGTTTGATCAAAATTTGCCGCTTTCACATGCTTTAATATGTCCAGAACGGTTGGTGGTCTATGGTGTGGATAGAAATGTCTCCAACTTGGACAATCACCATTATAGTATTGAAATACCCAACAAATTGTCTTTATATAATCATTTGCTCTCTTTGCTATTTCTGTAATATTTTTTTCCTCAAATGTAAGATCAAAACTTCTCCTTGAACGATCAGGCTTCGACTTTAGATGCTCGAAAAATTTAAGGAAATTAACAATATTTATTTTACCTTTATTAGTAATATAAGATTTAGCTTGACTAAAATAAGTTTGATAAGCTTGGAACAAGATATCAACACGTGTCTCTCCCAAACTTTTAATCCGTGGAATAAAATCATTACCAAGCAAATTGGCAATGCAAACAAAGTCATCGATAATGTTGTCTTCT